GGAAGCTGTTTCCCGCGGGTCAGGCGGAAAATCGTGCCACGGAAATGTAGGTCGGCGACCTTTCCTCGCCAGGAATCTCTCCCTTTACGTCACGATTCCATTGACTGCGGCCGCGACTTGGCGGTCAACCAAAATCGTTCTTCTTTTTTAATTTGTCTCCCCACGAAATACCAATAGCCCGCATCTCGGCCATGCGGGAGAATTTTTTTTTGTGGAAGTTTTTTTGCAATGGAAATTATCTTTCGCAAGGTCGATTTGCATTTGTTTCCTAGGAACGGGTCGGCGGACGGATTTGCGGTGTGTCGTCCTGCGGTCGGATGCCTGTTCAAAACTGTCGTTCCATTTTGAGATAATGCATGGTAATTTAATATATAGCGCCGCTCTCCCTAACGATCGGCCCTGTGTTGAATCGATATCAAAAAGCCAATATGGACGTTATTTCTGTTGGAGTGTATAATTCTCTGTAATTTTACATCGGTTGTTGTAATTCTCTGTAATCATTACACGATACGCTAAATGCAAAACAGAATTTTGATTCAGCTTTCAGCGGGAGAGAAATGAAACTTTGGTTGGAACAACGCGATTCGCGTAATTCGATATATTTCGATGTGTCGAAACTGCAACAAACGTCCGATCGAACCTTCATAAACATGCAAAGGTATTATTCTCGATCAGTTTGAGTCATGATTCCCGACAGGTAACGCGAGATAGAAGCGTAACGATGAATGCACTCGCAATAATGAAATCTAACAATACCATAAATAACGTTAAAAAAAAAGGGGTAAACGCAACAGCTATTAGTCTCTCACCGGAAGGTATTACATAAATTTCCTTTTTGTTCCGGTTGTAAAAGGGCATAAATCTTGTTTGGCTTGACACGTCCGATTACGCCCGTACAAAAACAATCGTCGCGCGTAAAAACGGGTGGGAAAACACCGTCCGCGCGTAAGCGGATGAAATTGCGGTGATTCTTTACGCGCGTGTCAGCGCGGCGAGCATCGCGCTCGTGATTTCTATGATTCTTATTGCCGATCGGGCGCGATGAAAACGGAAAGGGAATATTTTGACAGCGAACGGAAAGGCGATCCTCTCTTCCGGGCTTGTTGAATTTTAAAGTCCTGGCGAGGAGTGGCGAATGGAGAAACTTGGGGAAAACTCGGCGTGATCGTTGGCGACAGGTAATTGCATTGCAAAATTGCACGCGAAGGTTTCTTGCTTGACTCGCGCGGCCGTCCGCCTCTCAGAATTCCCGTTATTACCTGCCTGTTCGTTTTCAGCTCAAGCGCGGACTATTCTATGAGAACGAAAATACTCCTCTTTCATCTTTTGCGCATCGCGTGAGGAATAACCTCCGCGCAAATTAAGCGCGGACGCACGTCGGCTTTAGGCGAATTAAATGACTTTATTTTAACGCATGACGGGCGAAAGCCTCTCTCTCTCTCTCTCTCTCTTTCTCTGTTCAGTTATATTGTATGACCGTGTGGTAATCAGAATGGATCGTCGGAGGTGATTTATTCGCGGGATAAAAAAATAACCAGGCGAGTTAGCGAGCGTCGTTGGCTCATTTAGTGTGCAACGTACGCAAATTCTTGTCTCTCGCTCTCCTTTTTATAAAATATTTAAAATGTAAAAGATAAGAATTTAGTTTCCGCAGAAATTCTCTAATTCCAATATGCTTAATTATATGAGTTGACCTCAAACTTGGCAATGCGCCAACAATATTGCATTATCGGAAGCAAGTGCCATAATGCGCCAGTTGACGTGGTTGGCGCTGAAACGATTGTTTGCCGTAAAATATGAATACCTGGGTAACGGCGAGAGGGTGGGATAATTGTCTCGAGGTTTACTTGCAGACAGGTCTAATGTGATTGGTAGTTCCGGAGCGGACGTAGGGGGTTTCTCGGAGGACAATCGAGTTTGCGCTCGGCTGGCAATTACACTCTCTGCTCGTTACGCGGTTTGACAAACTTTCTCGCGACGGCGAAAGACGTCGGGTCCCGTGTGCCCGATTGAGGCCATTTTCGCTGAGCTGAAAGTTGCAGTAATTGCGAGGCAAAGTAGATTTCGCTGCTCGCTTGTTCGTTGCCGCGTGCTAACTAAACAATAACAAATATTAAATGGCATCGGCGCATTTCATTTATCCGCTCGCTTTTAACTTTCCCAATAATGCAGCCGTGCGTCAAAGTTGCAAATTTTATTTGCTTGTGTGTGACATATATATAATTGATCAATAATTATAAATATTCTCTTATTGAAGATAATTTTTATTTATTCTGCTAGAGTTTAACTATTGAGTTGATTCGTAAATTGTCACGCTTAATTTCATACCGAGAATGATGTTCTTTTTGTATGAATAACAGTAACCCTCACAGAAAGGGATAAAATCACAAAAATCACAAGAAAACGCATACATAGCTAAGAGCAAAACGGACAAGAGGCAGGCCCTTTTTATTTAAATTAAGTAGAATATTCTCCGATAGAGTTTCCGCTTGTTTTCGAATAAATTGTGCAATCTAGAATTTTACGCGCGTACACTTGCCAGCGTTGTTGAAACCGCTCCGCGATTACGTCTTTTTCTTCACTCGGCTTTCCTTTTGCACGGACAGTTCTTTTCATTATACATTCCATCGTGTACCGAGCATTATCCCTGTTTCGAAATCCTACCGGTTGCGCGTGTGAGAAGCAGCGTGTGAAATAAAACAGAGGTATTTCAAAGCAAGCAGACATGCGCGCGTGCAATCTGTTGACTTTATATCCTAATTCAATTGGTGCATTACGGAGCGTTATGCGTGTGCAACGTTTGCTGGTGGTGCGGCGGTTACAGTTATTGGTTTATGCACCTCTTGCAGCATAATCATATTCTGCGTGATAATGAATTTAAAATCCTATTTGAGTATGTCGGCACTTATCGGAAGAGTATGCTCGTGATGTCCGATCAAGTATCGCAGCGAAATATATTATGCGATATTAGTATAAATATTATAAATATAGCTGATAGACGAGCTCTATTCAACACATTCGTCTCCAATTTCTTTCGTTTCGTGATTATATAATTATTTTTGTATCTCCAAAATATCTTCCGCAAAATATCTTCCGCAGTTTGGTTTTTTTTTTTTTACCGAAATGTTTTTAGATTTAGATATTCATGATATCTAATATATATCTGCTTACTACGCTTCGCGCCATTCAAGGCGATATTTTTATCTCTTTTTTTACTGCGGTGTTAATTTCTGAATTTATTAGGCGTATCGCAAGTTGTGTACACGCTGATTTTGCGTTTCGTTTGTTGGATGATATAAAGCGGTGTTGGCAATGACCTACGTGAGATAAGATAGTGTTGAATTTACAGCGTCAAAGTCCCATGGTAACTTTAATGTTGTCACCGATGACCGTCCGGGAGTGAAATATCGTCTTGTAAAATATTAAATTGGCCGAGTTCCATCTGTGACTTTACGACACTGTATGTTTTCATTGGAAAGAAAAACAGTCGCAGCGTATCTCGGTTAGTGAGGGAATAAGTTAGAGTAATATGACAGAATTGTCATTAACGAGATCTCGTGCCATTGCCGTTTAATTGCGCGTGACATTTCGTCATACTAGATATATCAATACCAATTTCGACAGCTTGCAGGAAACATTCTAATTTTAACCTTCTTTGCATAACATCGCGCAATACAAACCTTTTATCTGAAGCCACTTCCCGTATTTTTCAAAATATCTGTCGGTTCACATCTGAAATTTCATCCGCTTCTGCGAAACACCGATAATTTAATGCGTTGTGCATATTTGAAAGCAGAACGCTGACAGCTAAGATTAAATGCATTCGTATCTTGCAAAATCATCTCGCTTGTATTATTAAATACGAGAAAACTTGTAAAGTTGTCGTGTCGCTAGGAAAATACTTCCTGGTATTAAATGTAATTACAATTTGTAAAAAAGATTAGATAGGCTTCTGTCAGCTGATTTTATCCACGAAGAGTCATCGTCTCGCATTACACAATGTTTCAAGTCTGATTATTACGTAGGTATATTGATAAATATGATGTTGAACATGTGTTCTTCTGATGACAGACTCAATTAGATTGCAATTAAACAATTCTAGTACAGTTAAAATTTTTTAAAAGTTTAATATGTACATATATATATATATTAAACTTTTGGAAAATTTTAATATTTTATCTTATCATCTTGTTACTTGTACTAAAATTGTTTAATTGCAATCTATATATATATGCAAATAATTTATCAATAATGTACAACTGAAAATAATTTCATATTTATATATTTGTAAAATATTTTTAACTAAATCACACTTAACTTCTCTCTCTCTCTCTCTCTCTCTCTCTCTCTCTCTCTCGCTCTCTATTTTGCTCTTCTTGCCTCGCTACGGCGTGATTTCATGTAAAGCGCTGCTTTCACGGTGCGGTAATTTCATTTTCGCAATGAACTTACAGTCCCCCTCCCCCCGTCGTCCTTCCTCTGTCCTTTCGTCGACTCCGTCCTCTGTCCTGTCATTCTGCACCTTCGCGTGTGCGCGCGCGCGCACGTGTCGTCCTTCTCTCTCGGCTCCTCTCTCTTTCGGAAGTTCGCGCTAAACGCGCAGTTTCATTTACATCGTCCTCGTCCTTCGACCGCGTCCTATCCATGTCCGAAGAGCGAGCGCGTCGCTTCAACGGGATATATTGTGCCAACGATGTTTCGTCTTTAGCCAACTCTCTGATTAAAGTTTCTCTCTCGGTCTGTTGGACATTTATGTGACGTCTGCACAATTGTGTTAAACATTTATATACATATAATAGTTGGAATCGGAGCATTCAATGCGGTAAGTTGAATGGAAAAATTAATCTAAAATTTGATTCTTCTGAATTTTTGAAATTATTTTATTCGAGTTCA